GCAGGTAGCAGCATCTGGTACCCAACTGGCCTGTCCCCGTGTTCATAGCACCCTGCCAGGCCTCTACTCTGCAGGGTCCACTCTGGAAGTGGCTTCTGAGACTGGGAGAAGGATGGTTAAGACCCTGGGGTAGTTGGATCAGTTCCTGCATCAACCCATCCAGCACCTGCTGAAAGGTGTGAGATCTGAGACAGTCTCTCCCTCCTGTTCCCAGTCTCTCACCCTCTCCTCCTGCATCTCTCTCTGCCTCTCCATCTCAGAGTACAGTCCAAACCCGTCCCCACACATCCCAGAACCTGTAGCGGCTGTCCATTCCACCTTCCTCTCGCCCAGTCATTTGTTCTCCAGCCACACTAGCCTATGCTTTTCCTCCAGCACATCAGCCCACTCCCACCTCAGGGCCTTTGCACGTACTGGTCTGCCTGGAAGACCTTGAGGGTCTTCACCTGGCATTTATCTTGCTTGATTCTTGGCTTCCTTATTATCTGTTTCTATCCCCACCTCCAGAGTATGGCCTGTGGTTCCTCTGGAGGCCTGCCAATTTCTGCCTTCACTTCCCTCACTGGGAAATGGGCAACTGGGCATGGTGGTCACAGTGTGACCTCATCGAGAAGGTGCAGATTAAGCGCTTACAACTGTGCCTAGCAGAGAGTAAACGTTCAGTAAGCACTCAGAAACAGTTCCATGAGCTAGCTGCTAAAGGATAAACACAATGTGGTCCTCCACACAGTGGAATGTTACTCAGCCACAACAAGGAGTGACACACTACAATGTGGATGAACCTCGAAAACGATGCTGAGAGAAACCAGACACAAAAGGCCACATGTTGTATGATTTCATTTATTTGAAATGTCCAGAACAACCAAATCCATAGATACAGGAAGCAGATTCGTGGTTTAGGGGCTGGTGGAGGTGGGAACAGATATGGTTTCTTTTGGGGATGAAAATGTTCTGGAACTAGATAGAGCTGGTTGCACAATATTGTGAAGGGCACCAAATGCCACCAAATTGTTCATTTTAAAATGGTTAATTTTGTGTTAGTGAATGTTACCCACTTAGAAATAATAAAAAGGACATTGGGTAAACGCAGGAAATCTGGCCCTGGCCAATGTGGCTCGGTTGGTTGGGTGTCGTCCATGCACCAAAAGTTGCCAGTCTGATTCCTGGTCAGAGCACACCCCGGGGTTGCCGGCTTGATCCCTGGTGCAGGAGGTAGCCGCTTATTTCTCTCTCTCCCTCTCCCATCTTCTGTTAGGACACAGTGTGACAGGAGGCTGAATGGCTGGGATGATGTCTGGGTGCCTTGAAGAGGACAGTCTGCCCCCCAGGGGAAAGGGAGAAAGAAGGACCTACAATCTATGAGGGGTCTCACAGTAAGTAGGGGAGGCTATGGGGTTCAGTCCAGCTGAGGGCTTTTTGGGGAGCCTGCTTTCTGCAGACTTGTAGACACAAACAGCAAGAATAATTTTCTCGCCCTGGCTGGTTTGGCTCAGTGGATAGAGCGTTGGCCTGCAGACTTAAGGGGCCCAGCTCTGGTTCATTTCTAGTCAGGGGCACATGCTTGGGTTGTGGGTTGATCCCCAGTAGGGGGCATGCAGAAGGCAGCCAATCAATGATTCTCTCTCATGATTGATATTTCTATCTCCCTCTCCCTTCCTCTCTGAAATCAATAAAAATATATTTTTTTAAAAAACAATTTTCTCTTGCCGAAACCGGTTTGGCTCAGTGGATAGAGCGTTGGCCTGTGGACTGAAAGGTCCCAGGTTCGATTCCGGTCAAGGGCATGTACCTGGGTTGCGGGCACATCCCCAGTGGGAGATGTGCAGGAGGCAGCTGATAGATGTTTCTCTCTCATCGATGTTTCTAACTCTCTATCTCTCTCCCTTCCTCTCTGTAAAAAATCAATAAAATATATTTAAAAAATAAAATAAAATTCAACTATTTAAAAAAAAAAAAAAAAAAAAAAAAAACAATTTTCTCATTTTTAAGGAAAACAGTTAAGATATCCCTGGACAGTGTTGCTGCATCCAGACATCCCCCTCCAAGAATAGACTTCTAGGGGTTTCAGGAAAGGTTGCTTTTCCAGAATGTTCCGGGGAAACTGCATCCTGGTCTCCACGGTGACAATGGAGGCCAGCCACTGCGCCACAGTCCAGATGCATTTAGAGACAACCTCCAACCCTGGTCACCAGGGTCACTCAATGTGCTAGAGGGTCACAACATGGAGGGACAGGACCTGGGGTGCTCACAGGAATGGTTTTCAAAGGAACAGAAGGGAATGAGGGAGGGGAAGGCTCATGAGGACCCGCAGAGTATTTTTAGGCACTGAATGTAGCCCTGAAATATTTCCACGGCCACTCCCGAGAGTGAGCTGGGTGACTATTTCAGTGCCTGGTTCCAGTGGAGGCGGGGCAAGGATGAGTCACCCCTGGGTGACTGGGCCTAGACCGGAAGGGGCCTGTGAGGTGACTGCTCACCAGGCCAGGCATCTGGTGCCAGCCTCTGGGGCATAGAGGACAGTGGCCTGGCCACTGCCCACTGGATGGCATCACTGCTTGCCGCGCCCCGCCCCCCGCCCCCCCACAATGATCATCCTGACCTGGAGATTTACAGGGATGAAAAGGGTCCTGGGGGTGGGGCGGGGGGGCGGGGCTCAGGTGCTCCACAGGTGCTCATTGAAGCACCACTGAGCGCTTCGAGCATGAATAGAGCGTTTGTTGTATACCAAGCATTCCCTCCAGTAACTCTCCCAACAGCCCCGTGAGGTAGACTCAGACTCATTACCAGCAGGCATGAGGAAGGGGGGATGGTTAAACCTGCAGGGCCCCTATGTGCCTTGAACCCTGTCTCTCAGTTGAAACCACAGTAAGGGGAGTGAATTTTTAAGCAGGAGGCTATCTTGCCTCTTCCCTGCCCCAACTGACTCTAGACTCCTGACTGTGCTTGACACAACAGAACTGAGAGAAGGTAAATGGATCCCCTAAGTTCAAGGACGAAACAGGGAGGAGCTGTGTGACCTGGGTCAGGTACCCATCCTCTCTGTGCCTAAGTACGGGAGCAGGCCATAGAGTCTCAGGGAGCTTGCACTTGCTGTTCCCACCACCTGTTCTCTGCTCTCCTCCCATGACCAGTGCCTTTCTGTCCTTCCAGAGCTGGTTTGACTGTGTCCCCTCATTGAGGCCTCCCCCCCCCCCCCCCACTCTGTGGAAAGGTCCCTCGGTGTCCTGGGCTTACTGTGGAATGGGCAGCTCATTTGCCTGGGTCCTCATGGCAGCCTTGCTCCTTGTTCCACCTCATGGCCTCCATGAGGGGCTTTACTGGTTTCTTAAAACCAATTAAAGAAGTTCCAAGTCCCCAGAACTACCTCTTCCTGGTCTCCTGGCTTCACCCTGGCCCTCAGTGTTCCAAAGCCTCTGTCGCTTCCATCTCAGTCAGGGCCTGCACCAACCCATTTCCTGCCCCCTTCACTTTGCTCCCACCACCAATCTGCAGAGCCTCTGCATGGGCTGTTCCTCCATCTGAACTCTTCCCCAAGATAGCCGGCTCCCTTGCCTCCCTCAAGCCCTTCTCACACATCACCTTCTTGCCTTCTCTGACCACCTCCACTTCCCACCTTTACTTTCTCCTCCAAAAGCACCTGGATGGGTTGTGGCCCCTGTTCCTCTGTCCTAAGCCAGCCCTCTGCTCCTGCTGTGGCAGGTGGCTTCTCCCATTGAGTGGACAGCAGGCCTTCTCCCGAACCCCCTCCCCTGGCTAAGCAGCCAGCCCTTTGTCCACGGGGGTGACAGAGGACCCCGGGGCACATGCTGAGCCACCGGAGACACTTAGTGCCAATGCCAGGAGGTGCCTGGCACCAAGGTCCAACTGGAGGGTGGGAAGGACAGCTGCTGTCACACCTCCTGGAGGTGGTGGTGGTAGGTTCAGTGCAGGCATCAAGAAAGGATGACTTGGAGGTGTGTGCAGGCAAGGGTGATACAGAAAAGCAACAGAGACACCTCCTAAACAGCTGTATGTATGTCCCAGAAATGGGCTCTTGGTCCCAGGCTAAATCACACCTGAGCGAGGGAGGCTCCCTGATGGCCACCAGGAGCCAACTCCAGGGGGAGGAGGTCACTGCCACATGTGAGGATCCTGCATTGTCTGCGGACAGACCATCAGGACAGGAAGAGTGAGGCCCCTTACTTTTGGTTTCTCTTACTGCGGGTTTGAGGCTGGTTTCTTCAAACCAGTAAGGAAGAAGACAAACAGAGCTGTCCTAACAGCCAGCTCAAGACAGGGCATTCAGGAAGCCCAGACACCTAAGTGCAGGGCCAGCGCAGTGGCTTATGTCTGGGGTAAGATGACAGGACAGCTAGCCAAGCTGCCCTTTGGAAAGGTCAGGGCCAGGTGGCTGGGGCTAAGGGCAGTGTGGTGAGCAGAGACAGGCTCACATCCCTAAACTTCAGAAGGATACAAGGTGCTGGGCGCCTCCGGACGCTCTTGGTCCAAATCACAGTTAAACTGCCAGGAGCAGGCCTCTAAAAGACTCCCCATCACAGCCCATGGGACACTAGGTCCCAGAGCCCCCATTTCATCAAAGCTCCACCAGACAGAACACCTGTGGCAGGAGCCCTGTTCCCAACCCCGCAGACCAGGAACCCAGAGGCCTTCTGTAGAGAGATGATGCTAGGAGAGGTGGCGGTGGGAGCCAGCAGGCACCGACAGGGCCCAGCCTTGCCACCAACACTCCGCTGTTTTGCAAGAACCATTCACACCAGAGTTCACCCAAACAGAGAAGGCGACTGCCTCGAGTAATGTTTGGGTTTTCTTAAGCTTCTCCCCTCTTCTCCAAGGCACCACCATCCACAATGCGTGAAAGTCTTGCCTTTCATAAGAAAATGTAGAAGGACGCGGGGAGATGTGCTGCAGGCCTAGAAAGGAAACTTCCGACAGGGCTGTGACTTACCGAGGATACCATATGCTATCATGTGCCCAGTGGTTCAAAAGAAACTTCGGATTGGTGGTTTGTAGTTGTTTTGTTTTTATTTTTGTAACACAAAAGAGGGAGAAAGGCAAAGGAACAGCCCAACCAAGGCCCCACAACAGCATCTGAGGCACATGTCTGTGCGGATTTGTTATGAAAAAAGTTTCAGGTCTGTCTCAGGAAAAATCCCTGGACTGTCAATCTCAGTGCAAAGACCTTAAAATGAAAACTTCCCATCTGTTTGCCACACAGGGATCCAACAAGAGATACAAAACAAACCTATTTGGAAAATGCCCCCGATAACACAAGGGGGAAGGCTCTACAGATGCATTCACACACAGAACCTTCCAGGAATCAAGTTGGCTGTGACTTCACAAAATCAAAACCACCAAATAATATTTTCAACTGTAGAAATGCTGGCTTAAAAAAAGGACTTAATGCTCTGGCGGTGTGGCTTGGTTGATTGGAACATTGTCCTGTACACCAAAAGGTTGCAGTTTCAATTCCCAGTCAGGGCACATATCCAGGTTGCGGGTCCCATCCCCAGTCAGGGTACATGCCGGAGGCAGTAGATTGATGATGTTTTTCTCACATCAATGTTTCTCTCTCTCTCCCTTCTTCTATTAAAAATCAATTTTAAAAAAGACAACATAAAGAGGAGGACCACAAAATGCACAGGTGGGGTCCCCCCAACACCTGCCTCTTTTTTTCTGTTCTGAACAGACTCATGGACTGGAGCAGACATGCAGCCTGTTGGGGGAGGGCTTAAGTCTCTGGGTAACGCAGGGCCAGCTCACTGTTTACCCGCCTGCCTGCCGGGCTTCTTTTCTGGCTGACCTCTGCCAGTGCCTGGGATCCCGCCTCTGCCACGGCCGCCAAACACACCTGCAGGACAGAAATGGGGGCTGCATGGGAGCCAGGCTCCAGGGTATTCTAACCCCGAGTCTCCGTGGCCCCCCTATGTAAAGTGGAGAAAAGCAGGCTGAAAATCTGGGGTGGAGTGTCTGACCAGAGCTGGGTATGGGTGGTGCTCGAGAATTCCTCAGTGTGACAGAAGAGACCAGATCCCCCAGGTTGCAAAGGGTACGAGGAAGGATAGAGGAGAACCACAAGTCACATCGAGGCTTGGGTCAGGCTTCCTGGGAGAGGGACAGGGGCTGGGGTGAGGGCTTGGGTGATGGAGTGAGTGGAGCAGGAGCCAGGACAGGGGCAGGACTCTGGCCAGGGGTGGAGCAGAGACCCCCCAACTCTGAGGCTAAGGTGTACACTGGGGACCCAGGACCTCCCTCACACTAACACCATCCTGTAGGCCCAGCGACCAATGCTGGCACGGGTTGCCCCATCTCACCTCTCATGCTCAAGACCAGCTTTGCCAACGTGGCTTCTCTTCAGAGTGGCCTGCGCAGGCCACTCCCCCCACCCTCCTTGCAGCTTAGTCACCAGTGGTACCCCCCAGTGCAAAGAGCCTGGCCTTAGGTATCAGACAGGCCCTGAGAATTCAGGGCCCACTAACCCCCAGTTTCTGTCAACCCTCCACCTGGAGTGCCCTCTTCCTTGTGGTTCACTCTGTCACCCGAGTCTGGCTGAGAGCTGGCTCCAGGCCTGGCATTCAGAAGGTCCACACATAAGAAGAGCACCCAACCAGGAAGGTGGGGTGTACAGATGGCCTCTAGGCTCCGGCCCCAGCTGACTGCACAACAAATTTAATTGTAGCTGACTGCACAACAAATTTAATTGTATGCCAGAGTTGTCATGTCGCGGCAGTGAGGGGAGTCTATAAAAAAGGTGTGACCTTGGCATCAAGGAGTCAGGGCAGGGAAGGGTTCTGCGCCAGGCCCTGAGTTGGGGTCCTTGCCCGCAGCCTGAGCAGGTGGGCACCGCCAGATCCTCTCTACAGAGGGGAAACTGAGACTCAGGGAGGTGCCATGCCCAGAGATGAGAGTTGAACGCCCAGGTCTGCATGGCACCAGATCAATCCACTGGGCACCAAGGACTCAGCTGGGACCCCGGGTTGGGGTCTGGGACAGATGGCAGTCAGCAGCAATAGCCACTCCACAGAAGAGCCCTGTGAGTCACAGCTCCCCTGGCTCTGCTGCGGGGGGGCGGGGGTGGTGGGGGTGGAGTTGAGGGGAGAGGCTCAGAGCCAGGCCTGTTGCACTGTGAGAGCACCAGCCAAGAATGTCAACACTGGGCTGAAATAGATGCCACGTGCTGCAGCCACTTGTGTGTGTGTGTGTGTGTGTGTGTAGGACCTACCTCGTCCAGCACCCCCCATGCCACGGCCTTTCTGCTGCTTCTGCTGCTGCAGGCCACCACGGCCCCGACCCTTGGCTACCACCTCTTCTTTGACCATGTCAATGATCTCATCGGGGATGCGCAGGTACTTGATGGTGCTGCCGCGGATGTAGCACTCGGGCATCCGCCAGAACTTGTCCCCATCCTGCACAACAGGGGGTGGGGATCTCAGATCCATGCGGGTCCCTTCAGAGTGGGTACAGACAGCTGGGTGCCACCTGTATCTCTGGCATCCCCCCTGTAGGCTGCCAAGTTCATAGTCCCAGATATGACACGAGGCCTCTCTAAAGGGGGTCTTAACAGACCCTCAGCACCCTTGGCACAAGAGGAAGAGCAGCAGAGCTACATGGGAGATGGCGTCAATCTGTCCTCCAGTGTGGGATGGGGTTTGTTACCTGCAGCCCAAAGCCCAGGGTGGGGAGCTGCCCCATGCACCAGGTGCTGCCACAACCCACCTCCTGTCTGCACCTGTCCCCAGCCTTCTAGAACACACCTTCTGGAACCTTTTCTAGGGAGGTGCCATGCCATGCCCAGACACAGGTAGGTATGGAGACGAGGGCTTAAAGCCCAGGTCTGTGTGGGCACCAGATCAATCTGCTGGGCTGGACCTAGAGCTGACTCATTCATTCATCCAACTGTCTCCTGGCAGAGGCTGCGCCTGGTGTGGGACACAGGCCAGCAGGAAGAGATCCTGTGTGACAGGTGAAGAGGTCCAGGAGGGGGTGGGGAGGCAGGTTTGGCGCTCGCCAGGGTTAGCTCCCCAAGATGCCAATTTTCAGGGGAACTAATTGAGGCTGGAGAGATAGGGGGCTTGCAAAGTAAAAACCCCGTGGTTCCGCCCTAGCCGGCTTGGCTCAGTGGATAGAGCATCGGCCTGCGGACTGAAGGGTCCCAGGTTCGATTCTGGCCAAGGGCACATGCCTGGGTTGCGGGCTCCATCCCGTGTGGGGTGTGCAGGAGGCAGCCAATCAATGATTCTCTCTCATCACTGATGTTTCTATCTCTCTCCTTCTCCCTTCTTCTCTGAAATCAATAAAGAAATGTATGTTTTTTAAAAAACCCTGTGGTTCCTAGGATACAGACTACCCCTCCCCGCAACCCCATATCCTGGAACCAGCACAAGGCCTTTCCCTGAAGTCTCCTCCTGCTGCCCTTGGGTAGGAGCCTAGGGCCTCATATTAGTTTCCCAGCCCCACCCCTATTGCCTAGAGCCAGAAGCCTGGGTAGCCTTTTCCTCCCCCGACACCCTTAGAAATCAGACCAAGACCTCTCCCTGCTTAGAACCCAGCCAGGGTCCCCTTGGCCAAGGACCAGGCCCAAACACAGTATGGCTCTTGAACGCCCAAGATCCAGCCCCACCCTGGCTGCCCTCTCTGGGTACTCAACACACCTTCCAGATGAAACTTTCTGGAACACACAAGGAGGGTTTCCTGCCTCTAGGACTTTGCACACACCATTCCTGCCTTTCCTTGTCCAGCTAATTCTGGTCTTTGACAGGGCTTGCCTTCCAGGCTCCCTGAAATCGCCAGTCCTCTCACTTGACACTCACCAGCAGTCTGGTCTGGCCCAGTATAAGCACTCGGAGGGTCAGACGGAATATTCGAGGGCTAACTCTTCCCAGGAACGTACATGAGCTCCCATCCCACACAGGAACCCCACGAGGCCCTGCACATTCCTTTCCCAGAAAGAGTGGGCGAGGGGCCAAGTCCATGGGGATGCAAAGTACAGCCAGATAGAAACAGAAGGATTCCATGGAAGCTGGAGGCCAGGGCTGGGGCTGGCTGCTCCTTGATTGGCTCTCCCTCAGCCAAGGACAGGCCAGGCTCAGTACGCTCCCCGCAGGAACCTCACTCTGCTTTCCATGGCAGTTTAGCGCCCGCCAACCAGGGCTCCCCTGGGACCTTAGCCCCTGGGGTCTCTGGACTCTGCCACCCACTGCCCAAGGGATTTCAAACCTCATCCCACCTCTCCTCCCAACCACCTGGTCACAGAGGGAACTCCCAGAGGAGCCATGTTTCTAGGCTTAGGTGACTCTGGAGGCTGGACCAAACTTTCCCGAACCCCGTAGTTGGTTCTACAAGTGGACACAGACCTACTGGCCATGTGCAGAAAGACACATGCATGCCAGGCCATGCATTGCAGCACTGTCTGCTGAGGCCATAATGGAGCTGCCCCTACACCTGCTGCCTGGCATGTGGCAAGAAAACCAGGAGAGAGCTTCTAGCTGATGTGGAAGCTCCACAGTGTCCCATTACAAGAAACAGGTCATGGAGCTGTGTAGGTGAGGGAAGGGGTCATGCCCACTAGTCTGCCCGTTGGAGTGTGAACCATGCAGAAGGATGGACCAGGGGTAGGGGGCTGTCTTATGCTGTGCTGTACTCTGGCATGGCAAACCCGAGGGGCATGCTGTCCTCAGGCTCCAGACAGCTCCAACCTGGCTAAGGCCCCCTGCAGCTTCTTCCTTTGTAACCTGGGGGGCTGTTGCGGGCATGGGGACTAAGACTGGAATCCAGGCAGAAGGCTAGGGCCCATGCACATGAGTGGGAGAGCGCCTGCCTCCACCGCCGTCCTTGTCCTCATGGCTCTGGGGTCTTCCCAGCCTGTGACCCCAGGGACACTTCCCCAGCCCTGGGAGCTCAGGTTCTGGCCCTGCAGTTCCTGGATTCAGGCCTGGGGAGGTAAGCGAGCCTCTGGGGCCACAGGGCTGTCCTTGCCCCCAGATACCGCATCGCCACACCACCATGGCCTGCAGCCTGGAACAGCAGCAGCCAAGGCTGACAGGAGGGTAGGGTCTGCCCGCCCGTAGACTTGTATCCAGAAGCACCCCCTCAGGCCTGAGTCTTCCTTTGTCAGGGGTGGAAGCAGGGGCAGGAGGAGAGGGATAGCAGATCAGTACCTGATCAGGAAACATCCCCACAGGTGCAAAGTCCTCACAGGTGCAGAGTCCAGGACACTGGGAGGCCCTGCTCCTCCCCTAGGCCCCACACTTGGTAGGATGACCTGTGGTAGGCTGAGGAAGCCTCCCTACTCCTCCCAAAAGGTGCAGGGAAGGGCCTTCACTTCATGGGGAAGCCAGAATGCTGAAGCTCTGTAAGCCTCCAGTCCAAGCAAGCACTGCTGGCCACACTGCCTCTACTCGCCATGCCTGCCCGCCCCACCCAATGGCCCCCAGGTGTCAGGCACAGACTCCAGCTCAAGGGTACTCACCCTAGATGTGCATATCACCTCGCGCAGGTTGATGTTCATCCAGTTGTCACAGCTTACCAGGTGCCCATTGTACGTCTCCCCGTTTTTAAGCTCCACTAACTGGAGAGAAACGGGTCCCAAGTCAGCCAGGGGTCCCAAGGGAGGTGCAGCCCTGCCAGTAAGAGTAGCCCCAACCTCATTCAGATATGTCCTCAGCTCCTTGTAGTACCCAGGGCCACTGCACACAGAGCCCAGGCCCCCAGAGAGGCCTATCTTACAGGGAAATGTTCTGCGTTCTCTGTACACTTTGCGGGACACTTCTTCAAGGAAACCTTTTGTTTTTGGTGAGAAAAAAAAGACCCAAAACCCAATAAAATCAATAAAGGCTGTGATTTCAAAACAAACAAACAAAAGAATACTCAGCCCTGACCCATGTTCTCAGTGGTTAGAGCATCAGCCTGAGCATCGAAGAGTCGAGGGTTCTATTCCCAGTCATGTCTGGGTTGCAGGTTCGATCCCCAGCCTCTGGTCAGGGTGCATGCAGGAGGCAACCAATCTCTGTGTCTCTCTCACATTGTTGTTTCTCTCCCCCCGCCCCCCACAAACTCTCTAAAAACAAACAAACAAACAAAAAACAACCAATGGAAAAAATATCCTTGGGTGAGGATTAACAACAACAAAAAAGAATCAACTCAGATATTTGTGAAGGCATACATCCATGTAAAAATGTATACACAAACATTCACAGTAGCCAAATATTCACAAATAGCCAAGAGATAGAAAAAAATCAAATGTACATCAACTGATGAATGGATAAACACATTGTGGTCCATCTACACAATGGAATATTATTCAGCCATAAAATACCACAATATAGAGGAACCCTGAAAACATGCTGAGTGCAAGACGCCAAACACACAGGCCACATGTTATATGACCCCGTTTATACGAAGTGTCGGAAGAGGCAAATCCATAGAGACAGAAGGTGGATTTGTGGTTCTCAGGGATTGGGCCAGAAGCACGGGGAGTAACTGCTAATGAGCATGGAGTCGCCTTTTGGATGACGGAAATGTTCTGGATCCAGAGAGGTGATGGTTGTGCAATATTGTGAGTTTACTAAAGGCCACTGCATTATTCACTTTAAAGGGCTGAGTTCTGTGGTATTTGAATTACATTGAATAAAAAGAACACACATATATCACAGAATTAGTTAACCCGCCGGGAAAATGAATGGAGGGAGCTTCCACTATAAGTCTCTCTTGTGTTTGACTTTTCTTTCTGTTTGACCTTTTTAATAAGCACATATTACTTTTGTAAGCAGCAACAATGACACTGGTCCTGACCTGTGTGGGAAGTAAGAGAACAAGCTGCTGTTCTGTGGACAGGTGGGGAAGCAGGTTTGGCTAGAGGCACTTCACCCTTGGCCCAGTGTCCCCATCCCTGTGCTAAGGCTGGTCCCCACTGAAAGTCGCTGTCCCAGATGGTACATACCATGGGGTGATTCTGAGCCGTCTTCAGCAGTGACAACGGGAGCTGAAATGCAAGCAAAAGTACAAGATCTGTCTGATTAATCAGCTCCTGGGGCCCCAGGCCTCTGGGGAGGGTCCCACAATAGCACTAGGAGTACAGGAGCACACATGCCTAACCCCGTAAGGGAGAGGCAGTCTCCTCATTCTGCACAACCCCAGGACACACCTGCCTCCCAGTTTAGGAAAGAACCCTCTCAAGGCCCCTCTTTCCTCCCAGAGGCAGCTGACACCTAGGCCCAGTGCTGTTTATTTGGTATTTTTTTATAACTCACACTGTACATTGTCCTCACACCCACCATGCTTATCAGCAGCATCACAGCATACAGGTCCCTCTGCTGCTGTTTTGCTCAACTGATATTTAAGATGAATACACCCAGCCGAAACCGGTTTGGCTCAGTGGATGGAGCGTCGGCCTGCGGACTGGAGGGTCCCGGGTTCGATTCCGGTCAGGGGCATGTACCTGGGTTGCGGGCACATCCCCAGTGGGAGATGTGCAGGAGGCAGCTGATCGATGTTTCTCTCTCATCGATGTTTCTAGCTCTCTGTCTCTCTCCCTTCCTCTCTGTGGAAGGTCAGTGGAATATATTTAATAAAAAAAAAAAAAAAAAAAAATAAGATGAATACACCCAACTCCAGGTCTCATTCCCAGCACGGCATATGGCTATTGTCACACCCTCTTTACAGATGGGGAAACTGAGGCTCAGAGAACTCTGCCCAGCACTAGAGCTAGTAAGAGAGAGAGCTTGGCTGGACTCTGTCTGTCTGAAGCCGGAGGGCAGCCCCAACTGGACCAAGAGTGACTCGGCCAAGCACAATGGGGAGTCCACCTTGATCTGGAGGCCACACTGAACTGGCTTTTCAGAGACAGGAGTTCACCAGGTAAGAGGAAGAAACATTCCAGAAAAAGTTTGTGGTTATTGCAAGAAATGGCAGATAAAGGAAGGAATCTTTTAAAGCTCACCCAGATAAGGTGGGCTTTTAAGATATTTCTTCTTCCATCATTACTGAATTTCTTTTTAATAACAAACATGGTGCAACTGGAAAAAAATCAGCTGTTCTCACCCTGGAAACACAAATCAGGACCCATACACTGGAGCCACCCCCGGCTCTCCAGAAAGTGACTCAGGTGTGGTGCTTGGGTCCGGGTCCAATGGTAGCCAATCAGTACGGCCAGAGGAAGGTTCTGGCCTAAGGACCCTGCAGACAGGAAACTGCCTCAGGGAGCAAGAGGTTTTGCTTCATCCTGCCCTGGCCTCACACTACTCATTCGATATGGGCAGCTGTTTCTCCAGGTGGCAGAATGGAAAGCATCTCCTGTGGAGGTGGAAATGGCCCTCAACCCCCGCGGGGTGGCTCTCCATGGAAGGGCCTGGGTTGGGGGCCAATCCAATATCCCACAGGCCTTCCCCAGAAGAGTCACCAGGGAGGTCCGGCGACAACAGGAAGCCAGGCCCAAGCCCACTTCCTGCACTGGCTTCCTGGACGGGCAAGATAAGAAGAACGAGCCACGTGGAGGAGAGGCAGCTGCTCTGGGGAGGATGGGCAGGTTGGGGACACCGTGGCCAACCCACTGCTCCTGCCCTCTCATTTGGGTGCATCAGTGCAACGCTGCCCCGGGCGTGAAGGAAACTCCCAGGAGGACCAGAATGGCACTTGGGGCCAGGCGCCCAGACTGCCTTTACTATGGAGAAGCTGTGGGCTTTCCTGGGCAAGGGGGAATCTGAACCAAGGTGATGCGACACCGGGTTCTGCTCCCAGATCACTGGAAAGGGGACAGGGTCCGGCTAGACCTGGAATGTGACAATGAAAAATGGACTCAGTTGCCAAGAAGTAGAGGGAGGGTCAGAGGAAGGAGTTGCCCAGGGACACAGAGCAAGGGCATAAGCCAGTGAGAGCAGACGGACGCCTGTCAGCAAGGGACCCACACATGTCTTTTATGACATATACAGCCCCTAGGCCAGTGATGGTGAACCTTTTGAGCTCGGCGTGTCAGCATTTTAAAAAACCCTAACTTAACTCTGTTGCCGTGTCTCATATAGAAATTTTTTGATATTTGTAACCATGGTAAAACAAAGACTTATATTTCTGATATTTATTTTACATATTTAAATGCCATTTAACAAAGAAAAATCAACCAAAAAAATGAGTTCGTGTGTCACCTCTGACACGCGTGTCATAGGTTCGCCATCACTGCCCTAGGCTGACGATGGCCTCTCTCAGGTCACCACGTTGTCGGGCTGCTGGCAGCACCGTTCTGGAGGACCCACATCCTCCACAGCGGTCACTGGCTGTGCCCTATCCACAGAGGAGCCGAGGATGGAAACACATAAGGGACCAGCACTTGCTCCCAGCCCTCCCCCAACTTCCCTCTCACTCACCCCCCAGGCGGGCCAGACCTGACAAGGCTCCAGCAAACAGGCCCATTCTGCTCCTCCCGCCATGCAGGTTCCTATTGCTCAACCTTTGTTCCTGCGATTCCCTCTGCCTGGGGTGCCTTTCCCCAGGCTGGTGGCCGCTCAAACATCACCTCCCTCTGCCAGGACCTCATAATAACCCCATTTAGGAAACGAGGTTTCCACCTGGGCCACCCTCGGCTGTTTCCATGATAGCACTTAGCCGGTCTCTAATTATCTTGTTTACTTGTCTCCCTGGCTAGACTTGAAACACCACGCCTCTTGCTGGACTGGAAAACTCAGAAGGTGTGGGCTTCGTCCAATGCCAAGCACGGGGCCGGGCACACCAGGTGGACTAAGAAAATATTTGCTGAATAAATACAAGGGAAATACACATACTGCCCAGGAAGGCACATGGGGCGGGCGGAATGCTCACCCCACCCCTCAAATAAGGAGAAGCTCAAGGGAGAGGTGGCATCCAGACAGCCCTCCACTGCTGCAATCAACGACCAGGAGCAGTGGCCAGGTCTTGCCATCTCCATCCTCATTTCCATGCGTTGCGTTTTGGACGAGGGGGAAGAGATGCTGAGACTAAACTCAACGGGAAAGAGGAAGATGTGTGAAGGTGTCAAAAGAAATGGAAGAGAGCCAAGCACTCAGCTCCAGGGGAGACTGGAATTGGGAAGGTCAGAAAAGCGAAAGGAAAGAGGGTTCCTTCCTCTGGGCTTTCTCACAACGTTTGGAGTCTGGTTGTCAGGTCCGGGCCAATCCTGGACCAGACCCACCCAATGGGCTCCTGAGGTTCCCAATGCAAAAAGCCGGCATGGACCAGCATCCCCGCGGACACACCCAGCCCCCTGCTTCCAGCCGCCGGGACCACAGGGAACTGGGGAGGTGTCATGCCCCGTCTACTGGACGCTGCCAGTGGAAACGATGGGCCTGCACTTTGCACGGGCTCGGTTCTAGACTCCGAGACTGTACCAGGGACAAGTACAAAGATTTGCCGCCACGGAGCTTAAAAGAGGAATCATGCTGCTCATCTCCTCGGGAGGACCCTGCCTTCCAGCGGGGAGGAACCTGGTCCCTTCTCTCAAGTCGCAGCACGACCCGGGTGCTCCGGGCCACGCACTCCCCCAGGAAGCCCGGCTCGGAATTCCTCTGCGGGGCCTCCGTGTCCCTGTCCGGGTCTCAACGTTTCCTTCCGGGAACTGAGCGCGCGCAGTCGGTCCGCTCCCGGCTCAGAATGCCCTCTCCCCCTGCTTTGTGACCCGGGGAGAAGAAAACCCCCTTTCTGGATCTGCTTTTCAGCCTCAATACGAGGCACCGGAAGTTGCGCTGCATTCTAGGGCTTTGCAAACCGCCCGAAGTCCCCAAAACTGGTTTAATGTGAGAACTCAGGGGGGCCCCTCCTTCCTCGCATTCCAGCTCCCCAACAGGAGGCTAGGGTGGTCGGAGGCTCTCGGGGACACTTCCCTGCCACACTCCCTCTGCTGCATTCACCGGGCCCTTCAGCGGGTCCCCGTCCTCTCCAGCCTCAGTTTCCCCATCTACAAAGTGGGAGGACTGCGGCTAGGCCGCCATACTATGGTGACACGTTCGTTCAACCCTAAGTTTTCGGAGACCGACGCGCTGGGTACCCTAGGAGGGCCTCCTGCCCTCTCGGGCCTCAGTTTCTCCTCCTTGGGCCGCGGGCGGGCCCCATTACGCACTCACTCCGCGTCGCTCCTGCCCCAGAGCTAGCCCCGAGGGGCCTTGGAGGCCGCGCCCCCGCCTCCTGGCGAGAACACGCCATCACCCTCCCCTCACCATGGTGGCGGCAGGCACCTGGCCCGCCGGTCACTTCCGCCGCGGCCGCCTCGGTTCACGCGCCCGCCGGTAGCCGCCCCGCCGCGCGCCACTAGACTGAATGGAATGGCAGTGACGAGAGCCAGTCCGCACGGGGCTCAAAGGTAGGGCAACCAATCCGTGTGGAATAGGGCGGGGCCTGTTAGGCACAAGGGGCGGGCGGTGCCGTATTCCCGCCGAAGGAATGAGGGAAAGAGCCGTAAAGTGCCGCGGTGAGTGCTGCAAAACGGGGCGGAGCAACGTGAGCCGGCACTGGAGGCCTTGTGGGTAAGAGCGCTTGCTCATGTGAAACCCTCGCTGATGTGGGCTCCACACTGTGGACAGAACTGGTTATTCCTTACACCTTGCAATTGGAGAAACCGAGGCTCCATGGTTATTAGGAAGTGCCTTCGGGCTCCTGACTCTTCTTTCTTTTTTGTTTTGTTTTGTTTTGTTTTGGGGCGGCTCCTACTCTTCTGATACTATTGTAGTTGTTCCTTATCCGAGGCACATATTTTGGTAAATTGCCCCTCTGAGCCTTAGTTATCCACCCTATAAAACCAGTGTAATGATAGTGTCTGCTCTATAGAAGGTTTCGGTGAGAATGAAACGAGTTAAGCCACTTTGGACAACATCTGGCACATACTAAGCACAATGAATGCATGGGCATACAATAAATATTTATTGAGCACCTACTACTTGCTTACTCTTGGAAACACAAGTGAACAGACCTGACAGAACTGGCTCTCCTCGGGCTTAGGAGATGGTTGGGGAGACAGACGGTAAACAAAATGAGTGGGTAAATGTATTCTTTCCTTGAGCTGCTGTAACAAATTACACAATAGAAACCTGAAAGCAAGGTGTCAGCAGGGTTGCTTCCTACAGAAGGCGCAGAGACACAATTCATCCCATGCTGCTCGCCCAGCTTCTGCGAGCTGGCAAGCTTTGTAGTTCCTTGGCTTGTGGACACATCACTCCAATATCTTTTTCTTCACACGGCTTTCTTCTCTCTGTGTGCCTGTGTCTAAATCTTTCTCTCCTTTCTGTTACACGGACACTCCTTTTTCTTAATAGAACCACTCTAAATCTAGGATAATGTCACCTCAAGATCCTTAATTACATCTGCAAAGACCTTATCTCTCTCTCTATAAAAGGCTAAGTGACTGATGGTACGTAAGTCCGATTGTCTGACCCACCGGTACATATGATGCACACTGGCAATTTAAAAATAAACGTTGACTCGCGCATGTGCGATACATATAAAGCTCTCGCTCGCGCCAATCGCATGCGACGCCAGAATGTATCTGAAGACCAACTATTGGCACTTTGTTGTTGTTATATCATGTTGTTTATTTATTAATTTATCAATCATTGTTTTTGTCAATGTTTTTATATCATGTTGTTATTGTTTGTTTATTAATCAATTTATTATTTTCATATACATTTTACTAATTTTCTTTCATCTTGACATTTCTATTATAGAGAAAGGGTGAATAGTGATATTAAAATATTTTGTATTTTAATTTTATAATACTATCTATACTATTTTTATATGTAGTTTCTTGCAGTAATGTAATTACTGCACAAATCTTTCTTCTAATTAATTTCCTTTAAATGTGCACGAATTCGTGCACCGGGCCACTAGTTTCAAATGAGGTCATACAGGTACCGGGGCTTAGAACATATCTGTCATTATGTTAGTGGATTGGCCAATGACTGACCCCATATAAAGTGCCAGACACTTGTTACCAACAGTTGTCCTTCATGCTTTAGTTTGGGGGTCCTGAGATGAGTACTCAAGGTCACATAGTGTGTTCAGGGGGTGACTCCAGGATGCCCCCATTGGGGGTGGAGACCTGATACAGGAAGGGAAGGATCCTGCTGGGGGCACCAATAAGAAGATGACACAGAAAGCAAGCGGAGGTCAGTCCGGCTGGGACAACAGCATAAGAGCTCATGGCTCATTGTGGTCCCACCCAGGGTCAGGGCAGCTGACGCATTTATTATCCAAGTCCCATCTATCATCAGTTCAAGGCTTCCCCCAGGGGAGCTGGCGAAGTCTGGGGTGTGTGCAGGATGTTGACAGGCAGCCAACAGTGATGCCCTAACTGTGGTAGAGGGATCAGGATGAACTGCCAAACTTGGTTTGTTAGGGTAAAGGCTACTGGATGTAAACAACAGAAACTGGGGTGCATGGAGTGCCCCAGCATTAATATGGTGGTGGAAGTAGGAAGAAAATCTTGTGCTGCATTACTCCTTTCTGACTTTTCTATGCAGAGGCTTTCTTCTTTTTAATATATTTTTATTGATCTGAGAGGAAGGGAAAGGGAGAGAGAAATGTCAATGATGAGAGAAAATCATCGATCCTCTGCCTCTTGCACGCCCCCTACTGGGGATCGAGCCCACACGTGCCCTGACGGGGAATCGAACCCTGACCTTCTGGTTCATAGGTCAATGCTCAACCACCCAGCTACGACAGCTGGGGGAGGCTTTCTTCTTTTGCCCAATTGGCAAACTCCTCTTCACCCTTGAAAACTCTACTTGGGTGACCCCGTGTGGTAGAGTGAGGTCACTGCGGTTTTTGTAGGTCCTTTCAACATAGGGTGGCCAGAGTTCTCCATTCCCCTGGGCATAGTGATTGATTAAAAGGGAAGCACATGACCAAGCAAGGCCAATTAGAATCTCGCTTGAGTCCAGCTGACGTGACTCAGTGGGTGAGGTCAACCTATGAACCAGGAGGTCATGGTTCCATTCCTGGTTGGGGCACATGCCTGGGTTGCTGGCTTGATCCCCAGTGTGGGGTGGAGGCAGCTGATCAATGATTCTCTCTCAATCAATGATTCTCTCTCATTGATGTTTCTCTCTCTCTCTCTCTCTCTCTCTCTCTCTCTCTCTCTCTCTCCCCTCTCTCCCCCCCTTCTCCCTCTCCCTCTCCTTTCCTCTCTAAAAATCAATAAAAACATTAAAAAAAAAAAAAGAATCTCCCTTGAGAGAGATACTGAGGGTTAGGAGGGAGAAGAGGGAGAAGAGTGTTTTCCATGAAGGTTGTTAAAAGCGAAATAGTGAGATATTCCTATTTACTGAAATAGTGCAATTTACAAGTGAGATAGTGAAAAGCCAGTGCCAGGAGGTTGCAACATACATAAGAGCTGCTTGGTGGACAGGGTGGCATGGTTTGAGCCCCTGAATCCAGCTATGCCTAAAGCCATTAGGTCTGACTTCCCATTTACGTGAGCCCAAGAAGTTCATTATTGCTTCATCCACTTGGAGTTTGGATTCTGTCCCCCGCAATGGCCAGAACCCGCACTGATGCGTAGCTGCTTCGGGGACTCTTCAATGACTGACCCCAAAATCTAATCATTCCCTCTCTTACACTTTGAACTTTGGTACCTTGCACAGATTTTCATTATTACCTGGTGTGTGGCACATTTAATTGTGCTTTTGCACACTTAGGCCTTCTGGACTCTGACTTGTAGGAGCAAAAACATGAGAGGTTGCATGGGCCACTATTTGAGGGAGTCAGCATCGTTCCTTCTCCCCTCTCCTCATGGACACATGTCCCTGGCTCAGCCAATTAGAGGGCTGTCCTAGGCTGGTGCTGGAATTGCAGCGTTAGAATAACGTCATTCAGGTACAGACATGGCCATCTCTCCACTTCAGAGTCTTGGCCCTGTTTAATTCTGTACCCGATGCTTCGTGAATCCCTATCCTTTCTTATCTCTTGAACCAATACTCCTATTTTTTTCATTCCAGTTGAAATTGTATTTCTGACAGCAAAAACTTAGAGTGAGGACCAATGTACCTATCAAATTAACAAAAATATCCTACCCTCCACTAAAAAAAGGGGGGGGGCATTGTAAAACCCAGTGCTAGCAAGGTTATGGTGAAACCAGTGGACATATATTTTCTTCTAAGTGGGGGAAAATGGCGTTATGTCTCAGAATCCGTAAAAGCATCACACCCACTCAGTAATTCATTTTGACAATTTATACTAAGGAGGTCTTGCAAATGTAGGGAACCATTCTGCCAGACCTTGCAGCAATGTTGCCAACCCTAAACCAGCAGAAAGAACATAAGGGTCTGAGAACAGTGGACTGGTTGAGTAAGCTCTGGTTCATCCACTAGACAGAATATTTTCCATTCTGGACTCTGTGTGTCGCTTCTAAAAAAAATAGAATAGAGAAAGGGGAAAATAGTAGGTTGATAGAGACTTGAATAGTAGAGACACCTGGCAGATACCACATGTAGTGAGTTAAATGGTGACCCCCTAAAGGTATGTCCAAGTCCTAACTCCCTGAACCTGTGAATGTGACCTTATTTGAAAAAAGAGTCTTTTTAGTTGTAGTTAAGGATCCTGAGATGAAATCATTTGGGATTTAGGATGGAGTCAAAACCCAGTGACTGGCCTCCTTCTAAGAGAAAAGCTAAGGGAGATGTGAGGCACAGAGAAGACAGAGGGAGAGATTGGGGTGATGCAGCCACTAGCCAAGGAATGCTAGGAACCCCCCAAACCTAGAAGAGACAATGAAGGACCCCTCCCTTAGCATCTCCAGAGGGATTGTGGCCCTGCTGACACTGATTTTGGACTTCTGGCCTCCCAAACTTTGAGAGGATAAATTTGTCTTTTCAAGCCACCGACTTTGTGGTCATCTGTTATGGCAGCCCCAGGACATTCATCACCTGAACCAAATGATCCAAATTACATGTCTGTGATAAGTCGTGTGGATATAATGGGATGAGAAAGGCATCTCATCTCTGTGGTCTTCCCCAAACACCCATACCCCATTCTAATCATGACAGGAACATTAGACCGACCGACAGAATAGAGGTCATCCTAAAGGATGCATGGCCAGTTCTCTCCAGACTGCCAAGGTCACGAACAACAAGGAAAGACCCAAGAGCCATCCCAGACCAGAGGAGACTGGGGAGATGTGACCACAAAATGCAATGGGGTTTCCTCTACAGGGTCCTCGCACAGGGAGAGGACACGAATGGAAAACCTGGTGACACCTGGATAACATCAGGTTGGTTAATAACAATGTACCAGTGTTGAGTTCTTAGTTATACAAATGTACCTGATAATGTAAGATGTTCACATTCCAGGAAGTG